ACCGTTCGAGCGTGAGAACAAGAAACCTGTGCTAAGAACATGGCGCCCTAACTCGACCGTAAGTTGGTAAAAATGTTACCAACGTTGTCAAAAAGTAACGTGCTTTCAATTGTTGTGTTTACCTTTAACAGGATTTGGCACAGCAGAAAATGATGTAAAATCAAATTTAAAAACAAAAACGGTGAGACTGTGTGCTTGTAGGAACCATGTCTTATCAAAAAGGAAATCTATATCAGGGAATTTGAAACAGTTGTAAAAACTGGCCCAGAAAATTTCTTGACACCTATGCACAGTGCCAGGAGTTCTTCAGAAACGAGATCTGCTTCAGTAGACAAAATGTCAATACCTCCTGGCTTCAAAATGCAGGACACTACATGTACATATTTTATCTTAGCTGAAAAGATGGTATCATTTTACACAAAAATGACATAATTGAGTTGATAAAGTCAGCAATTACAGGGAAGCACAGATATCTGCTGAAACAAAAAAGTGCCACATTATAACTTATTTCAGGTGGAAAACAGTTGAGGAATGATTTCCTATACACAGACTGTCTGCTTTTAGGCTAATATTTCTAATCTCTTTAAGATGTGGAAAAAAAATTCAAAAGGCTGTTTAAAACAAAAGTTTGGTAATGTTCCAGTGAAACTAGAATACGATGAATAACCTTAGGTGGCAGTCTCTTTGTATAAGCAGCTGAGTGTAGTTTGTACATACTGATGAATGAACATCTGCTGAATTATTCAATAGTGAAAATGTCTGACTAGAAACCACACAGTGGAATGACGATTGTTTGAAAACACTCAACATGGCGAGGAATAATAAACTTTCTTTGTAACCGGAAGTGTTCCCTCGTTGCTTGGTACCCTACCCCTCGGTACTTTACCTGCTACCCCACCATTGGTCTGTGACATTTGCACCTTACTTGCTGGATGCTCCCCTGGGTGGAATCCCTGCTGAGTGACGTGATTACTGTGATTGACGTGGTTTACCGTCTTCTGTGGGTAGACAGTACCCTCATGGTCAGGGCTATTGCCAGTCTGGACATGAATTACGCTAGGTATGGATGAGGTTGAGGAATACATGCTACTGGTTGTGCTCTGAGAGCTTTCTGGACGGTTGAGATGATAGCTGGGTGGTTGGGTAGCTGGAGTTCGGTCATGACTCCCAGCATCTCTTGGAGTCCTTGTCGAGTTGCTCGGGTTTGTGAACTGACTGTTTTTGGAGTGTGGTTTTTGCTTTACGTCAGGAGGGACTGAATTTGTGACTGGGTAAGATTTGACATGGTTAGAGTTTGAATACAACTGGTTTGGGGTAGAGATGACTTGAGGCTTGCCAACATCTGCAGGTGGGACATACTGGATTGGTCTAGTGTGAGGCAAGGTGGACGTGGTTGAGCTTGAGGAAGAAGTCCTCGCTCTAGGTTCACAGTGTGATCCCAGCATCTGCCGTGAAGCATCAAAACTTTCTTCCTGAGCAACTTCGGTTCTCAAGGATTGGATTCTCTGGGCGTTGATGGCTTCAAGGCGGTTGCTGCTTCCTTCTGGAGGTGGGGTGATCTGGCTCAGGTGAGGATTGCTTCTTGAGGTACTATTTGTTAATGTTCCTTGTTTGGGATGCAGGGCTGGTGGCTGCTTCCTACCCGTTGGGCTAGGTTGCCTTCTGTTGGCAAAACCCTGACCAGGGTTTTGTTGAGAACCTTGTTGAGACCCACCTGATGGGGTTTCAGAGGTAGAGCTAGTGAAAAGTCCACTCACAGGACTAGTTTTGCTGTCAACAACCTTCCATGGTCCTCTAGTTCCCTGCTCGTTGGATGATTCAGTCTGTGTTGATACCATGGTCTCAGTCATTTGGTTTGATGGTTGAGGCTTACCTTGTTTCATCCGGGAAAACCTCTGCATGCTTTCCACGGCAGTCATGTGCTTCATGGTGTCATGTAGGACCTTCATGGCAATGGCTTCATGAGGTGATGGTGTACCCCTTGATTCAGATCCCTGGTCTGAGTGGGATGGAGCCGGTGAGGACCGACTAGTCCGACGTAACAGCTTAGCGCTTGGGCTGCCCCCTCGAGGAGGACTGGTCACTCCCGGCTCTAATCTAGCTGGGCTTTGTCTAGGTGAGCCAGCATAAAGACTGCATTTTGGAGATGCAGTATCAGGCAGGAAGACATCACCTGGAGACACAGACCTTGATCGTGACTGGTTTGAATCCCTCCTGGGTTTATGCTCAGTGTTGGTGCTCATCACACTGCTGCTACCTCGACTGTATCTGACATCAGTGCTTGAGGAAGATGACATAGGAATGGATCTTGTTATGAATTCCACAGTATCGTCCACAAATGCAGGGTTGACCATTCCCATGGAAAGGGAGTCTTGGCTGCCAAGAAGCGACTCCCTGGAACTAGACGACTTCTTAGTCCTAGAAGATGAAGATGACAAGAGAGGACTTTCCCTGTTGGGGATGTTCACAATCCCATCTTGGTTGACCATTGTGTCATCTGGGTCGTTGTTGAGACTGTTCAGTAATGCCAGGACCTCAGGAGCCATTGTCAGATCACCGTCCGCTGAGAATAGACTTGCCTCTGGGATTTCTTGCCGGGAAGGCGTTTGATTCCTGACACCACCTTGAGTAGGCCCTACGGTGGTTGGACTCGTAACCGGTGGGGTTGACTCTGAGGATTCTGACGAAGGGGCAGGACTGGCACCTTGGGTGTTCCGTGAGACTGGTGAAATCCCATTGGCGACCAATGAGGCGTAGGAGTTCTCTCCACTATAGGCAAAGCCACTGCGCGTCATCTCAGCAGAGATAGGTGTAGACGTCACCCCAAACTGCCGGTTGTTGCGGCGCTTTCCTCTCTTGTGACTCTTACCCAGAGAGACCTCCACGGGCTGAGAAAGGTCCACGTTGGATTTCAAGGAGTGGCAGGAGACAAGAGAAGATGCTGAGACAGCAGAGAGTGACATCCCAGATGCTCCTGACTGAGAGGAGCAGAGACTCTCCATGGAAGAGAAGCTCTCAAGGGGCAGAGACTTGGGGGCAGAGGCAGGATCTGGGAACAAAACCAACAGATCAGAAAGTCAGATGAGTTATGTTCGATGAGTTATGTTCGATAAGAAGACAAAGTATATATTCTCAAACAATTTGACATTGACTACAATTTGCAAACTCTGGCTACACTCTCTGTGTGCAAAAATACGCTACTAGTTTTTCTTTTAGCCCCCGGCCCCTGCAAACTTATGGGAGTGATATTATATTTTATTGAAGGAAATACGTCACTTGGGGTCACAGCTAACGACGCGCAAAGCATACTTCAATGATAGTAATCCTCATCTGATACAGTCAATGTGATTGACTGCACATGGACCTGAATATTAGACACTGAATTAACCATTTCCTGCCCGGTGCTTTTAAAAATGTAGTGCCTACATACAGGCATTTTCTCAATATCCTTGGTTTTCAAAAATCATCAAAATATCTTATTTTTTCCCCCTAAAAGCCTAAATCCCACGGAATGTTTGGTGGCTACTCTAATTAGACAGAAAAAATCTGTTGATACCAGAGTATTTCAGCCAGGCCTGCCCCATTGTAAAAAGAGTCCAGATTGTGCTGTGTTAAATAAGTTTCTTTTGTTCCCGAAGCTGGCACAGTGCGCTTCTGGCATCTTTTCAATACAGGCCAGATTAGCGAGAAGCGGTGTTGTATCGCTCATCTCTAGAGTGCTGGGGCACTTTTGTCCCCGGTGGTAATCCACTCGCACTGAATGCCACAAACAATGGTATAATCTTCAAAACAATGACGGATTTCCTCCGCTATTGACAACTGAAAATTATGTTGGCATTTCCCAGCAGCTCTGTCTTTTGTTTCGAGTACGGTCTTCTGCTACAAGGCCCAGCTCTTTTATCCGATTTTAGGCACCCCGGCTATGCATACAAACCCAAGGTACCCGAAAACGGGCTCCTCGGCAGGATATGGTTAAAGACTTCTTATTTTATTAGCATGGCTGATCAACTCCTATAAATATTTCAGCTGAGATTTCTCACAGTGGTTATAATCCATCACAATTCGGACACACATGAAGTTAAGCCAGGTAAATATAATGCGGCAAAATTTGAGAAAGACTCTGTCAGGACCAAAAACATAGGTTCTCAAAAACTTGTTAAGTGTGCATATATCAGGTAACTCAAATCAGTAGTGAGCAGTGATCCTATTTATCTTTTCTTTCTTCTATTTGGGATGAACTGACCAAATACTGCCAGTAGAGCCTGTAGCGTGTAGTGCAACATTCGTCGGCTGACTTGCTTGCTGGTGATAAGTTGCACCTCCTCCTTGCCAACGTCAATCAGGTCAAAACCTGACAAGAAAATGGAAGACAAAACATCCATCTCAGGAGACAACAAAAGAGACTGAATGGTGCAAAAGTTTAGCCTGTTCTGGAATATCACGCTAGGAATTGGTGCAATGGAGCAATAACCTTTATTAGCCCACAACTGAGTCCAAAAGGATAGTGTTCATAATACAATTAATTTCTAAGTCAAATCTTACAGTGACAAAAAACACCTTCAAAACATTGAAGGTCACCAAATAGGCGAAATATTCACATAGTTTAGGATGGACTTAAATTTGCCAATCAGAAATAGTCAACTCTTGGTAATACGAGCTTGGGTAAGAGGAGACTCCGGTTTAAACGGGCATATTTTGCCAGTCCCGACTGAAGTGTGCACATTCGAGGAAAATATTGCTTCATTAATATGAAGTTCAGTTGTTACGAGATTTCAGTTAAGATGCGCATTTCTTGCACACAAGCCGAGTGCAAAACTTGTTATCTGTCTGATACAAGCTTTTTTGAAGGCAACTTGTCAATCAGCCTGTCCATTCAATTTTGAAAGGTGCTTCTGTAGTACAGCACTGAAGTTTCCCTCAAAAGAAATCTTTCATTTGATTTCCCTGCCTCCCAAAAATTCCCCAAGATCAAAGTTCCCCAGGAAACTAATAAAAATTATGTTCTGAAACCAAACACCTGGCCCAAAATGTCCACCCCGTCAAAAAATTGTTATCGGTCCCCACTGTAACTTGAGAAATATTGCTCCACCCGATGTTGAAATTTCTATAAATTCTCAATTTAAGAAAATCATGACTAAACCTTGGTTTTCGGTCAAGATAAAATAACATCCACACGTTTTGAAGAAAGAAAAGTGCATTCCTTGCTAATAATTTTTCACTAAACTTGATTCGATCAAATCCGATATCCGTCCTCTACTGTCCACACCACCAATGGCTGGTTTCCTCCTATTTTTATTCGCAGCTCTGGTGTTGGTTACCAAGTAAAATGTTAATGTGCGTGTGTTATATGCGTGCTTTTAGATCTCATCACAGCATGCGGGGGACGTGTGATACGGCATCGCTCTGACTCGACATGACTGGTGGAAGGTCTACTTCCTCCGTTCTTACGTTCTATTATTCTTTATTACAAGCCCTTATTGTGTACAGTTTTTAAAACTGTACACATCTCACTTTCATAAACGTAAACTTTTTGAAATCACATTCATAAAACGTTTGTGCATTAAAAGTTATGCATAGGCCCTACTTGTATACATGTACGCTTTACCTACGGTCCATTAGTGATACATACATCAAGCAGGACAACAGCTTTCGCATAAAACGAGGTCTGGATAATACGAGCTAATTTAGAAAGTCCCAAGGCCCTCGTAATAACAAAAGTCCACCATACGTGAAAATGTACGTTACTATACTGAAGTATCTATAACTGTGGTGTCATACGACAAATTGTGTGGTTTATGACAGACTTGTCTGGTGCTTACCAAGTGAAGCCAGTAATTCATGACAACCTGGTGTTCTCCATAGCTTGACATTGACTGGCACCTGAATAGCGCCCTCTCTGTCTCGGGTGTACTTAGCCACTACTTGCTGGAGCTGTACAGTAACAACACAGCGTCCGATTAAAATGATGGAAATTTGTTTGATGGTGGACAAGGTGAAAACGTGCAGTGAAGGTTTGCTTCAAAAACAACACTGGCAACACGTCATGCTACTTCTGGCAAATCTCACACACTATTGAAGCTCTGCATTAGGGTTGTTATATCACTACAGTCTCCTGAACGGAGACAAAGTATTTTGAAGCACACATTCGGAATATTCCTGGCAATGCAGGATTATAAATAAAGTACAGGGAGGTCAGAGGTCATATACAGTATGTGTGACTGACATACTAAAAGGTCTCTCTCAAATGACGTCACTTCCTACCGATTGCCACTTGCACTGGCATTTTTTACTTCGATTTTGGTGACGCCTATCGGCTGCACCATATTTTGAACATATTCGGATCAGAACATTTTGCACAATGTGCGCACCCACGCACCTGATGGTGTTGTATACGCAGTTGCAATTTTCAAACAAAGGTGACGTCTAATGAAAGAGATCCATTCAGACAACGATCAACAAGTAAAACCATGAACAAATTGCCCACTGTACAGCAAACCAACACAAAAAAGTGGTTATGAGCTACTCTGAGGGTGGGGTTAACTTTGTGCAGTCACACAGTTTATCTACCATTTGTAGTTCCACAGTCTGTGGTGATTGTACTTTATCTGGTATATGAACACTATCAGTCGGTTCACTGCCTTGGGTCCGGACACTAGACCCTTTCATTTGGTGCACCTTAGCGATCAGTATGCGTAGCTATCAAGGAAAGACAGACTTTTTTTACTGGAATTTGATCTGAAATATCAAGCTTGAAGGATAGTTGATGAGTGTATAAAGGAACAAAAATATGAAGAGGAATCTTTTGAATAAAACCGAGAGTTGTATATTGTTCTCTGAAGATGATAATGTTGTACTGTTTGAAAAACTGAATTGTCTAGCACCACAGAGAAGAAACTAAGGACTTACCATGATGATGATTTCTTGAGCAGCATCACAGAATGACAGGAGCTTGGACAAGGCTATCAAAGTATTCTGAGACAAACCTGAAAAACATCCAAACAAGATGTCCCAACCAGAAATAAATGTTGGACTCAATGTGTACCAATGACCATCAATGAATGGTTCGTCATCCAAACGTTTCAATGTTTCAAACTAAAAGAATCAGACATTCTACCGAGTTATTCTGTCCAACATGGGCCATTTCTTTAGCATGAGGTTTACAGTACAATTTAAACAATTTAAACCTTGTGCCACGGCAGGAATTTGTTGCAACACGTTAGCTTCAAGTATGAGTAAAACAACCTCAAACTCATGAACACAGAAAATACATAAATAAGAGACCAAGTTCTGTGAATTAACTTGCAGAAAACCTCTTGCAACATCAATATTTTTTCAACCTGCAGCTTTAGGGTTGCATGCGATATGTGTGTACAGCTGATGTCGTGTAATCGATTGGAATGTACAGTACATGTATAGACTGGCTCTGGTTGCTACATTTCCATCACGCGTTCTGTTGCTTGTGCGCGGCGCGGCGGGAACCAGAGTAGCTTCTTTTAATGCACTGAGCTTTGTGCACATGTTTTCACCACTGCGACAGCAAATGCCAATGGGAATTGTTCGTGAAAGTTGGAAATTAAAAAATGAAATTTCGGTGATGAACAAGTGGTAAGGTTTGTCTAAATTTGAAAAATAATCGCCACTTTTTCTCGCCAAGTCAATGGAATAGTAGCCAAAAGTACAATTAAATCGGCAATTGGCGAGAATGGGGAATGGCAGCTGGAACCGTCTTATTATCACAGCTCAACTGTATAAGCATAAAAATTTTGAACCCAATGAACAAACTCTTTATATCAGCTACATGTACATAGTTTGATATTTTCGTACAGTGAGAAATAGATCTGAAGTCAAGAATCAAGAATCCTGAAAACAAGATTGAACATATGATGACCTGATATATCAGGTTGGCATATCACACAGCATTTGTGTCTCTTTTCTTACCAAGCAATGCTTGAAGGCTAGCACTGGCTTGTAAAAGTCTCTCTCCAGGGTCAGCCAGTGGGAAGAAGACTGATGGAGGTATTCCCTTAGCTGGTTGTTCCTCAAATCGGAAACCCACGGCTTTCAGGAGTTCCTGCCATCCTCTGACGGGTCCGACCTTCTTCAAGATGCTCTGCTGAGTAGTGTAGATGGGGTTCTTAGGACCCCGGTGGATACGCTGAAGGGACTTCTCAATCTGGATTCAATCAACCACGAGGAAGGAAATAAAGATCGGTTATGTAGACATGGACCAAATTCAATGAGACAGGAGGGGGGCAAAAGATTGTCAGATGAATTTATATGCTGAGCAAAAGAAGCAAATTGTAAAGTCTTGGGATAGTATTCTGGTTTATGCTTCAACTAAGAAAATCTGTTTACCAAGCAACCTCAAATCTGATCTTTGGCAAATAGAATGGACAGGACATCATTTCTGACAATAAAAATTCATTTGGGTAATTTCAGGAATTAAGGGTCCAAAGTGAGACATTTTGTATCCCTGTTACATCTGACCTTTGTTAGTTGACACCGGAATCGATTTCAAACTATTACTTTTTGTTTGACAGGTCATTTGCATTAATTCATCGATCTTGGAAATTACAAAATGTGTTTTGAACTTACAACATCGTATGTCAGATGTGAAAGGGGCAAGAAAAAAAAGAACCCCTAATTGCAGGAATTACCCTTTTCTGTTTTGACGGAACAAACTCACCAGATGTAGTAACACCCTGAGTGCTTCTCGACACTTGGTGGGCGTGGTCAGGAGATCTCCTATGGCGTTACCAAACATGGCGCTCTTGTTGCTCAGTCGGACATCACAGCCCAGAAGCATAAAACCAGACCAATTAGATGGATGGGCAAACTGCTTGAACCCCTGGTCATGGGTCAAAATGTCAGAGGTTAAAGAACCATATGCAATTTTAAGCATAGATGCTTAATTTTAATCGACTCTGTCCAGTTTATCCGAAAAAAAAAGGTGCTAAATGTAGCCATCAACTGTATCCCTCGGACCTTCTATCATTACAGATCTTCACAAAAAGTCTGAGGAAATGTGTAACATGGCATATGGAAGAGATAAAGATTCGCAGTCTTTGGCCTTCTTACCTGTACAGTATGCATGGCATTCCCAACAGCCACGCTGGCCTTGGTTCCCAACAAGAGAGATTCATACAACCCCTTCATAAAGATCTTATTAGCCGGCTCTGGGACGTACCACAGAGGAACTAACACACTCTGAGCACCAGCCGCTAGGAAGGCTCTAGCCAGACTCACGATGCCGTCAGCTGTGACGCGGCCTGAGCGTGTCTCACTGGCGTAGCAAGACAGGATGACCAGTTTAGCGGTCAGCTGGAGGTCTAGGATGTCGGCGGCCGTTAAGAGGAACTCGGAGAGGGCTGGGGTGTCTGGGTTGCTGTCTAGATCACTCTCTTCGCTATCTGTCAAGTCTACATGCTCCAGGGCACCATTTTCTCTGTAAAAAGGGAAATTAAGAAATGATAAGCAAAATGAACTGTGATATAAAATTTGTGGCCTTTTCAGCCAAGGAATGTCACATTAGGTGCACAGACTGCTTCATCTGTATGAAAGATGCAAAGTGTTTGCACAAAATTTTCCACTGAATGTGTACAAATGTCTTTCTTATATAACAAATATACCCAAATATACAGGTGGGCATGCAAAGTAGTGAGTAAATGTCTGCAAATAACACTAATTCTGTATTAGGACGTGTCTAAACCAACCAGCTGTGGCTGAACGTAACATCCAAGTCTATAGAAAGTGACCACAGCCACTAGCCACTCACTTTCCATAACTGCACGTCATTCCTGCCATAGCCACAACTTTTGGACACAGTCTTACCCATTTGTCGGTGATAAGCTGCTCTGCCTGACTGGTGACGGTGGACCCTTTTTCTGGGGTATATGTCCAGGAGACAAGATGAGAGCTGACAGCTTCCATGACACGGATGTGGCAAAGTGAAGACACTCGGCATTAGCGATGGACTTGCGTAGGGCTTCCTTAGTGGCAGAAGGGCCTGTCAAAGGTGTGACTCCCATGATGTCCGATATTAAATGTGCCTCCTGAAAATCAAATCAAATTAATTCAGACACATTGGGAAGTTTTCCACTTTTGTTTTGATGGATCTCAGGACGCCAGAGAATTCAAGGATCTGCTGAGTACACAGTTCCAGTCAAAATTTCATTTACTGCAAATGCATCAATTCATCAGAGAACTATTTTCTGCTTTTCAGTTCTGTGAAATTGGACCTAGTCCATTTCAAAAGTAAATAAAAATTAATAACCAAGGAGATATAAATGACTATCTTATGATTTAGCTATTTGAAAACTGAAATAAAGAATACGTAGAATGTGTTGAATGTTTGGCTCTAGTTGTCAGCTCTGAAACAAGAAGACTTGGTAGGCTCAGACCGTGTTCTCAATACTCAAGCAGCGAGAAACTCAACTAAGTGCACAATCAGAGACATTTCTGAGCCAGACATCATTTGGTTTTAAGTCAAGTTAGTCAATTATCCACTAAGTTGCACCAACCTGTTCAGCGTTGGGTAAATTACCCCATCCCCATCGCTCTGTGATGCTTAGAGGCATCTCTGGATTAGCTACAATCACCGCTGGTACCATGCCGCTGTGGGATGTTGTGCGTTGTTCCCAGTATCGATTCGTGTTGAGTGTTCTTAGTGATGGTACAACTCTTAAGTTGAACCTATCCTGAAGGCATTCTGTCATTAAGGCACCTTTCAGGACTGGAAATGGGACTAGATAGAGGTCACCTGCAAAATAAAAGATCGGGGGAAGAAATTCTTTTGTTGAGAAACAAGCCTTATTTTCAGATACCAAATTGCCGAAATGAACTTTTCATAAAAAGCAGACAAACAAAAGGGGACAGGAAACCAAAAATCGTTCACACTGATTTGCAAAGATGTGGCAAAATTATTCAGCTGGTTATATTAACATACCTTCTAATACCAAGACCAAATCTGTTGCTGGAGTGTTGGGTCCATTTGGCTGCCGTAGGACATCCTCCATAGGAGCTATCAGAAGGTCATACAGCACTCTTAGCGGAGGTCTTCCTGACCAAGATTTCAGCTGCTTCTGCTTGATGGATTTATTTGTGACGGCATTAACCAGAGATGAGTTGTTCATGATGCTGCCGTTAAGGCTGAGCTGACTCATCATGCTGGCCACGCTACGTGTGCTGCTGTTGATAGCGTGGTTGCGACTGGTGAGTCTCTGATGCTGGCCATTACTGTCGCTGCCACCACCAATCAGTTTGGCATTTAGCTCTTCCAGGTGTTGTTGTAGGAGCTCATCAGCTTCGCTCTCTGTCTCACTGGTGATGTCGCCATTGCTGCGATAACTGCTATGCTGAGCATCTACACCTAGAGCCTCCCTGGCATGCATAATGCACTGATCAAGGTGTGCCGATGTCGTGACATTCAGGGTGCTGTTTGTCAGAGTAGACTCGGAGCAAGTTGATGCATCATCTTCCTCTAAGGACCTGTCAAGCTGATTCAGGTTGCAATCATTGAACTTCAGAATTCCTGTGGGAAGAAATCAAACTTTATCATGATCTGAAAAACTGAATTCTATCTTAACCACCTCCTCTATGGGACACGGAAATAAAAATCCCACACTGGAACAAAAGTTAAACACACTTGCTGAATGTAGAGTTTGCATTTCTTCAATGAACACTGTTGGGATGTTATGTGAGAATACACACACGTATATTTGCTAAACTCAAACTTGCAGTCTCTTTTCCAAGAGTGTAGTATTCAAGTCTACAAGTCCCTTCACAAGTCCAGTCACAAGTCCCTTCAAAAGGCCAGTCATAAGTAACAGGGTGAACACACGTATGTTTATGCCCCTCACTTATTTTGTGCGCACGTGTACTGAATCCCACTGTAGCCAGAAGCCAATAAAATGGCTCTTGACTCGGACAGGTGGACCCCAAAAGAAATCAATCAACATCAAGCTCAGAAAAAGTGGTTTGCCCCTTATTTCCATACCGATTAGTATTTAAGCACTCAATGTCCCTTTAGATAACTTGCACACAATAAAAATCCTTTATCTGCAAAAATTTTGCCCGTCTTTCTTTAACGTACCTCCAAAGTAACAGAGTCAGACGTTTGAAGTGAAGCCAACATTTTAGAGGGGATTTTTTCAGTTTTGCTGAGTTTTCCCTGACATTTTTCTACTTGTGAATGGTGAGGAATATCATGAACGCTCTATTGAGCAAGCATCATACAAGAAGGAAACCGTATGGAGGAAATCAGAAAGTTTTTGTATATGCCTTTTAGTCTGGCAACTTTACATGATTGTACATATTCGTGCAATGCAGTAGGCCAACTTGTACCCAAACGCACTCGTATCCAGGCCCATGTACGTACGTGTTCAACATGCCTACAATCGGGACATTGCAATTTTTGACCGCTGCCAAACTCAGAACAGAAATTTGAATACCACATGATAAACCAACAGCATTTCAGACAAATGGCTCTCGCTCTTGAAAAAAATTAATTGATAGATACAAAAAATATCAATCTTCTAGACAGTATCACCGATGATCTGAGGGGAATTGGACAAAAGTGTGAAAATTGGGTACTAAGTATGGCGAAAAACACGGAAAATGAAGAAAATGGGTCCCAATGAAAAATGAAGTGAATGTAAAAATGGTTTTCTTCTTAGCAGTAATAACCTTTTTTGTACATTAGAGTTACTAGTCTTTCATGTAGCATCAAAGTTATTTGAGGGTAAACTCGGCAAAATTGAGAAAATTAGACACAAAGCTACATGTAGATAACAAAATGAAAATATTTCATAATCATACTTTGTTGAAAAATTGACATTTTCCACTTTCTTTGATTTTTTCCGGCAATCTTTTTCCTCAGAAGCTATTAAATATTACCATTTGATAGACTCGTGGCAACTTATTCACACACAAGGTCTTCAAGGGAAATGGCAGTACTATCCCGCACATGGGTCACCACCGATATACGTCGTCTGCTAGAATAATTTTTTCAGGCCGACGACCATGATGTCACTATTGCGCATGCGCGAATACACAAACTAAATGCATGCACGGTCTATGGCGACCAAACATACGTGAACAATGACCAAAGAATGCTTTTGTCACAGCTCATCTGAATAGCTTGTAAATTGGTGTACGTGTTGGACGACTGGATGACTTGTGATGGACTTACAGGACTTGCTGGGACTCAAATACATGTACAACACTATTTTCCAACCCACACCAGCAGTGCACTGATACTTTGTATAATATTGTACAAAAGGAGTTCACAGAAAGTATAAAAAAAACAAAAACTTTGTACTACCATCTGATGGTGTGATAAGCCAGCTGTAGAGATGTCCAGATGCTATGGAATAATACAACACATTAGCATTCTGCATGCTGACTAACTCCAGGATCTCATCAACTGTCATCAAGACTGTGTCCATCACATCAACAGAATCTGAACCATCTCCAGATTGTCGACCCAGGAGAAGGTCCACAAAAGCTCTGGTTCGACTCCTCTCAGCAACAGCCAGGGCTTCATCTTGTCTGTCCATAGCAACCAGGACTTTCTGAAGTGATTGGTAAGAGGCTGATTGTGATTCTAGCAGTGAGATCTTATACTCGCTGCCGACTTGAGTCTCTCGCCAGATGGATTCAAAGAGGTCAGCTGCACGGTAGAGCTGTCGTTGGGCCTCATCCAAATTGCCGTTGGACCACTGAGCCAGTCCCAGTCGATGCCTGATCTTAGCTTCATCTTCCTTCCTGCCCAGCTGATCAGCTATCTGTAGGCCCTGGGTCAGGTAAGCAACAGCTTGGGAGAAGTTCCCAAGTGCGTGATGTACACGGCCAAGGCTGCTGTATGCGAGGGCTTTGGCCACGCGGTCGTTGACCTGCGCTGCAATGCTGAGATGTTGCTCCTGGTACATGATAGCCTTCTGGTAATTACCGAGGGATTCGTGAGTCACTCCAAGATTCCCAAAAGCCCTTCCCTGGCAGGATAGATTCTCAGTCTCCTCGGCAATGTTCAGGTCCATCTGATGGAACTCCAAGGCCTTTTCATATTCGCCCATTTGTTGATAGACACCTCCTAGTCCACAAGCTGCATCGGCTTGGCCTGACTTATCACGCATTTCTTGAGCAAGCTTCAGCTGATTATCTAAGCAGGAGATAGCCTGTTCGAAATTTCCCATGATGCTATGCAGGCAGCCGAGCTCACCATACGCTGAAGCCTGGGTTGACTCATCCTCCGTCTCATGTGCAACGACAAGACGCTTCTCAAAGCAAAACAAGGCCTGCTGTAAGTTACCCATGGCACGGTGGACATTGCCTAATCCACGGTAGGCCCTATCCTGTTCCTTAACATTCTTGACTTTTTGCGCAATTGCAAGGTATTGGTCATAGTTTCTGACAGCTTCATCGTAATCTCCCAACGCTTCGTAACATTCAGCAAGATTCCCAAAAGCTCTGCCCCTGTCATTCAAGACACTGTTCCCTACAAGCTGCTCCAGGGTTGCAAGTTGCTCCTCAAAGTACCCCAGAGCATCCTCAAAGAGATTCATGTTCATCTTGGAGATGCCCAGATTGCCAAAGGCTTGAGCTTGAAGAGCGCTGTCTCGTAGCTCGTTAGCACGTTTCAATTGTTCCTCATAACACTTGAAGGCATCCAAGTATTTTCCTAATGAAGTATGGACAGCACCAAGATGACTATGAGCCTTGCATTCCCCCTTCAAATCATTCATCTCTTCACACAACTGAAGCTCTTGCGTGTGATACGCTAAAGCCTTGTCGTAGATCTTAATTTTTCGAAAGGCTGAGCCTAGAGCACCATATGCACACGCTTCTAAAGTCTTGTTACTCACTTGCTTTGCAAGTTGAAGTTGCTGTTCGTAAAATTTAATAGCGCCGTCAGTGTCCTTCTGGGCCATACATATATCACCCAGATTTCCTAGAGCGCGGAATTTGCCTCCTGCATTCTTCATATGATGTGCGATTGTGAGGAAGCATTTCTGACACTCACTGGCTCGTTTGAAATTGCCCAACGTTCTATAAGCCAGACCCAGGTTGCAATAGGCCCTGCCAAGATTCACTTTATCCTTCTGATCCCGTGCTAGGACTAGATCCTTCTCGTAGTAGTGAACGGCCTCTTTGTAGTTACCCAGTGAGTAGTGGGCATAGCCTAAGTTATGATAGGCTTTACCTTGGCCTAACGGGTCATTTAGACCCTTAGTGAGTTTCAGATATTGCTCATAGTAAGGCAAAGCCTGTCGGAACTCTCCTCTGGAACTGTGATAGTTTCCCAAGTTACTGAGAGCGCGAGCTTCACTGACTTTGTCTTTGAGCTCACCGGCGATCTTGGAGTGGCTCAGATAATGCTCCTGTGCCTTCTCATGCATTCCTAAGGCTTGGTAGGCGACAGCTAGGTTGCCATGGGTACAGGCTTCAGAGGCCCGGTCATTGACCTCTCGTGATATCACCAGTTCCTGCTTGTGGTATTTGACTGCCTGCTCTGGCTGCCCAAGAGCGCTGTATGCATTACCCATGTTACCGTACGCCCTGCCTTGTCCTGTCCGGTCAGTCAGCTCCGTTACAATCATCAGATGTGCTTTATGGAGCTTAAGGGCAGTTTCAAATTGTCCCTGTGATTGGTGGATGATACCAAGGTTGGAACATGCTCTCCCCTCCATGGCTTTGTCCTTGGTGCTTAGAGCAATATTTAACTGCTGTTCATGGCAGTATTTAGCCTTCTCAAGGTCTCCGCTACATCGCGCTGCATGTCCAAGCCCAGCATAAGCCCTAGCCTCTACCGTCCGATCCTGAGAGTTCTTAGCAATGGCCAGCACCTTGTCATGAAACTCTGCCGCTTTCTCGTAGTCACTCTTGTAATGGTAAGCACTGCCCAGATTGCTGTAAGCACGAGCCTCTTCGTTGCCATTGTCCAACTGCTTGGCAATCTCCAGATGCTCCTTATGACAATCCAAAGCATTATCAAACTCCCCCAGCGCTAGATACACTGCTCCAACATTGCCAACTTCTCGAGCTTCAAAGTGTTTATCATTGAGTTGCTTGGCAAGGAGAACACACTGTTTATGGCTGGCCAGGGCATTTGGGTAATCACCAATAGCGGAGTACACATGCCCTGTGGGAAGAAGAAAAATAAAACAGTATCAATTGTTATCAGCAATGACAAAGGTATATAAAAGTTAGCATGTTCAAAAAATTAGAATACGCCGTTATGACAATGTTTTGTCTGCAAGAATACACAACAAACTCAAATTACAATTACTGAAATAATAACAACATGAGAAACCTCCAAGACCATTTAATTAGCCATGTGCTTTGATCTTATCTGTGCCATGCCTAGAAGCATTTTGTACAATTTTAATGGAACCTGGCTGATATATTTCTTGTTATCGTTCTATCATAGCAGCTGTGTTAATGCATACATGTCAATAAACACACTGAAGCTGTAGATTTCTAGAAATTTGGTGGATTTTTAAATAAGCAGAAGAGTTTTCAATAGTCCTACGTGAAGAGTATGAGTATTTGTTCAGCAAACATTCTACATGTTTCTGTCCTGGGCAAACTGATTTCAACTTTATTTCTGCATGTATTCATCCTTATCATCAAAATCACATTCACCTTTTCAATATTTCTATAAATTTGAGGAGTAAAAACCAAACCAACAACGATGAAAAAAATATGGCATTAATTCTCTCAATGCCAACCAATTTCTAAAAAAATATCACATTCTCTGAAATCTGGTCTTAGAATGATTCACTGGACAAATATTGACCGACCTACAATCCCTGAATATTGAGAGGGTAACATAACCCAATTGACCACCCAGGGGAATATTGCAAGCACGAGCCATGCATTGCTAATATCATACAGGATAATAAGACTGAAACAGGATCTTCACGCATGCTGAAAGAAGCTCAAATATAGGCCCTGCAGACAGATTTACGATTTTTATCTGAAAATGGGTCAAATTTCAGGACTGAATACATCTTTCCAAGATTTTATTTGTGTTTTACAATCCACTGTTTAAACAAGATATTTTGAAACTTTCAACTATGACTACTTTGCACATAAATATTCTAAGCGAATAAAGCTTCTCTTAACATTCTGTCCGAAAATACAGTTTGAACCATAAATATTTTTTGAGTGAAGAAAACAAATTTTTCAAAGGGCGGAAATGTTACAGTTTGATTTGAGAATACTTTATCATTATGAAAACACTTCAGCACAATTTCAAAGACTGCAAGGGAACTACAAATACAGAAAAAAAACTGTTTGAATAAGGCCAAGTGAGATCTTTTTAAAAATTACATGAACAATTTGAAACTTCAAGTCCTGACTTGGGTTTCTTTATTAAATTTTTAGCTATCAAGATGCTTGACTGATGGTTGCTAATGGTAGGCGTTGATCCCATTCCATACTAGTCTAAGTATACAGCTAGGTCTGAGAGGTTAAACTGAGTTAACCTGGCATGACCCCTGCAGACAGGTGCATAGAAAACACCTGCTGACAGCCGTTGCAAGTGTGAACTGTGACCGAGAAACTGGTATTTACAAAAACAAAATCGCATCAATCACAGAAATCACAAGAAATGAACTATTAAATAGCATTAAAGGGAAAAATGCAAAGTCCACTATAAATGTAAAATTGTTCAGATTTTAGTTTTCCTTGACTTTCCCTTCCATATGGGAATGCACTATTAATAACAAAACATTAACAGGCTGGGCTACCACACATTTGATTACAAAGGGTAAGCTGTGCTGTGTAGTGTGTGGGTATGTGTATGGGGGGAGGGGGGACCAGGCAGGGAAGGGATGTAATCTTGGATAGTGATTCCTACCTACATGTAGATTGCTTAGAGCTGAGGGAACTGTGATGGGGGAGGTAAGGGACAAGACAGGGAAGGGATGTAATTTTGAAGAGTGATTCCTGCCTAGATTGCTTAGAGCTGAGGGGACTGTGATGGGGGAGGGAGGGGAATAGGCAGGGAGGGGAAGTAATTTGACAGTGACTCCTACCTAGACTGCTAAGAGCTGAAGCGGCTGTATTCCTATCCTTTTGTTTCATAGCTAGCACCAGTTGGAATCGATGATGAGTCAATGCTTCTTTGTAATTCCCCTTGGAGAAGAATGCCGCTCCCAGGTTACCATGGGCCCTACACTCACCAACTTGATCACCTGCAAAGCAAAATACGACAGTAATATTATCTTCAATTTGGACAATTAACCGTAACAGTCCTCGATCCTTCACCTGACTGTTAGGGTTGAAAATAAAACAAATTGACTACTTTGGCAAAATTTGTACTGACTACAAAGAAGTGAGGAAAAATGACCAACTTTGCAAGCATTTTTTATCGTCTTGAAGACCCTCCCAAACCAGCAAAAAATTTAACATCTAGTCTTACATTATTTTAATGCATTAAAGACTGACAGCTCAACTACGGTAACATTAATAGAGTTGATGAAGCTAGTTTTCTTGAAACAAAAGTAGCATGGCATCATTTACCACACACGACTTTTTATGGCAAATTATCCTGGTGAATGTTTATGTGCCAGCACATAGACCTATATATAGTTCTCTGTATAATCTACCTGCATGAAATCAACCTTTTGTTCTCAGACCAAGTCACAAGTTTTGTTTGGCCAAAAAGAGAAACCACTATATAAACAAAACTAGGGGCAAGATGGGAAGAGTAAAACGAGGTCATTCTAAGGTCACACTGAGGAGGCTGGACTGGCCAAGGAACTGACCACTGATTAATGTGTGGATTGACAGATACCAGAAAACATCAACAAATAAATATTGTGCCCATCAAGGGGTCATTTTCCCACCTAGGAGTAAGTATCACTGATTTGAGGAAGGAACTTTATTTCAGATTTTAATTCATGCTGATGCTCCTCCAAAAGAATTCAACTTCATTTGAAATTTATTACAGTAAAATACTTTTGTAGAAAAAAGGTTCTGTATTTCCAAAAGTATGAGAAAAGAAAACGTAAATAACTATGAACATAAAATCTAAAAAAAAAAAACCAAACAAACAACCTCCCACCATTTCAAATCTTTAGTTAACTTAGTTTTAAAATCTGACTGCCTTCACGTCAGCTTTACCAAAGATGTTCAGGGTAAAAATGTGTAAAACTGTAGTTGCAATAACAGTAATAATTAGTACACGCAAGTAATGCCCAAATAACTGTTCACAGCAAGTTATCATTTTCTGAATACTCCTGATTACAAACGGTTTCACTTTCTACTGAAAAAAGGAATCTAGATCACATTCCTTCAGAGAGGTCAAGCTCTGAGCCACAAGACCAGGCTGATTACCTCAATGGGGCAGCCTAGCATCCCTTCAACACCCCCCTTAGCACCCATTAGGGCCTCTAGGGCTCACTTACATCCATCAAAGGTCTTAGCCATACACTCTTCAATGGCTCCAGTCACTCTTAATGGCTTTAAATCTGAGCTAAATGGACACATTTTCACTTTCACAGGAAACTGCCGTAAATCTTGTCCTACTTACTCATTCAGAAGGAAAACTTTTAATGCAAGGTGAAAAAATACCTGTTTGGAATGTCAACTAGAGGTGAAATCAAGTGACTTATGTTCCACTGCACTTTAGCATAAAAACAGGGAAGCAATTCCTCCAATAAAGAGGGATGAGCCACAAACAAATGTGAAAGAAAACTGACAAAAAGCATGTAATAACCCTAACACTCCTCAGTCCTCCAACAGGTGAAGGATTGAGGAGTGTTAGGGTTAATGTTGTTTATCCCTTTACCCATCCTTTACCAACTTTTCCAGTTTTCCACAATCTCTTGCTCATTTCTGCATTTCAGCCCTATTCCAGACCCTCAACACTTTCATTTCTTTTTTTGACACATGTTAGGGATGAGGACTGTGAACTGGACAACTTCAACGGGTGAACACCAACCTAGTGATTTTGCAACGGCCAGATCTTGTTGCATGTAAGCCACAGCCTTGTCTGTGTTTGCTAAACCCCAATGGGCACTGCTCAGGGCTGAAAACACCGATCCTCTCAGCTTTAGACTGCATGTTCCTAAGATACAAGATAAAAAAAAAGCACAACATTTGATAATATCATAAATGATCTGCTACCTCACCATAATGAAAGTGCCTCTTAGGAACTCTCTTAAGTATGTGAGATACCAAATTCATTCACTGCTCTTAGTTGACATGACCTTGGATGGCAACATTTCATTTGTGAAGGTCATGGTCATTTGTCCCAGTAACATTTGTTATAGTTTCCATAAGAAAGAGCAAACCAAACTCTTTTGTGTTTTGATGTATCACTCAGTTTGACCTCCTGATGAAGAATCTCGAATCTCTAAAATTTCACTAGTGCTTTTGAAATAACACAATCTGCACCAAGTTGTCCAATCAGTCAAATGACATGATACATGTATGTGCATACATGCACACTTTGGAGGGAGAAGTGGGGGGAACTTTTGACTGGTTGTGACTATTACAGCAAAATTTAAAGACACTCTATAAGATGTCCATGTACATATATGCTTTGACAATGTGTGCTACCGATAGAACTCAATATTGACAAATTACAGTCACCTTACTTCTTGGAGCTTATGAAAAGGACCGGTGGCATCATTTGAGAAAATACAAAGCACACAAGTGATCAGATTTCAATCAGTTTTTTCACAGTCACTGATACAATATGACAGACATGCAGCAAACAGTATGTTCATTAGAGCTCCCATTGTGCGACAGCTTTGTACTTTGAGAGGAACTGGTGACCAAGCCAAATGTTTCTCATGATTGACTGATATTTCACAGTCATTAAAATTGCAATCAAGAATCCTTTGTGTTGGGTTGTGGTTACTACATGTATGAATCAATACAAACTGTCTTGGGTATGTTTATGCAACGAGCAGTGCTTCGGGATCATTTTATTGCAAGACACTACACAGACAGGTTCTGAAAATGAAACCATCGAAAATGTTTATCTTAAGATTGCTAAGTCTCAATCTGATGACTAGATGCAATGGTGGTAATGAGATATGTAAGGCCTACACTGGTCGTAGATGGGTGTGTCCTCCTCCTTGGTTTCTGTGGGAGGGAAAATGCTACAAAGCCATCATGAAGCCTCTAACATGGTTTCAAGCCAAAGAGGAGTGCATCAAGATGGGAAGTGTCTTGGTTACACCACAGTCTGATGAGGAAACATGTTTCCTAATGCAACTACTACCATCCAGGTTTTGGATCAATTGCAACGATATCGAGAAGGAAGGTGGGTTAGAATATGAAGTTCTGATACAGATTGGTGACATCTGACAGTAATTCAAAATTGAAACACACACACATTTTTTTAGGTGACAACTATTGAATTAATGCAATGTAATTTAATTTTGATAGGTATTTGGGAGTGTCCTGATGGTCCCGATGAAGTGAAGTACAGGAATTGGTTAATTAATGTGCAGGAGTCCCAACCTGACAACTTGGGAGGAAATGAGAATTGTGGTGAGGTGTTTGGTAATGGACTATGGAATGATATACAATGTGACTGGCAACGTTTTGCAATATGCAAAGCCGCAACCACTCAGCACAACTGCATAACCTAAAACTTGACAGACTGGTGGACTTGAACCACACAACTGCAAAAAATGAGACTCATTCAGACTGCTCTATCTAATACTTTGCTTGAGGACAAGAGTAAAGTTATTGAAGAAAATTATTTCACTAGCAAATCCATGGACAGGTGGACATAGCTTAATATGAGAAATATGCACAGGTGTTTCTAGTAAAAAAAACTCTAAGTGATAAAAAATTGGGGATTTGGGGTCAGTTTGGGCCCTGTGTGGCACTTCATTTTAATAATGAAAAAGTGATATAGTAAGAATGTTTCGTTTTAATGCACTTTTTGCTGTTTTATTGGTAACTGTGCACCAAAGCACAAGATATGATTGAATTTTGCTGTACAGTTGGTTTTTTCTTCACAGATCACAAGCTTTGACATAATATGACACAAGCATCCATTAATCTAATTAATGTGTATTACCAAAATTTGTGTCTCTAAAATTGTTATCTGTCCTATCGAAATAATGATCATAGTTTATGACTTTCATGTCATAAGGACATTACCAAGTTTTTGCTAGCGATACAATGCACATTTATGACTAGGAGGAGATTTTCAAATCAAATATTTTTACATTTTTCTCATGTCCTTTTTTGTTGTGTGAGTTACTGATTTAAACTGATTGCATATCAGCCTTTAAGTTAAAGTCAAATTGCCATTAAATGCAACAGGAGTTACTGTAGAATCATCTTTCTGATGACTCTACAATGTATCTTCCTTGTTGAAGACCAAAAAGAGGAGGAAGGAAAAAATGGGAAAAAAAAGAGAGAGGAAAACCTATTGAATCACAAATCATAAATGTGAATATGTACATGTACACTCCATAATCTATATAACAGAAATGAGTACGAAAAATTTTCTATCCAGGTTGAAAATTCTCAACCCTGGTCCGGAGCAGGGTTGAGTTCAAGGGTTGAAATCGACCTCGGGGTTGATGCAGGGTTGGAGCAGGGTTGAACATTTTCAAGTGTAAATTGTCACCAGTTTTCAACCGTGGGTCAACCCTGCGTCAACCCTGAGAGTGAAAAGGCCTAAGGTGAATAGGTTATCATTTTCAGTGGGGTTTTACTCAGACATCGGCTCTGAAAGTGGTTTGATACATTAGATGCAATCTTTTTTGAGCAGATGGACCCTTCGTTGGTCGAAAAGAGCCATGTTGGCGCTGAATGTTTGTTTTTAATGGTAGTGATGCCACTGTCATGCGTGCATTTCAAATATGTACTGTACAAGTAATTGACTGTGAACAAGCAAAGCACATTTCCAACAAAAGGAACATTGGCAGCTTGGAAAAACTGTGCTCTGGTTTGGTCTAGCTCAGGGCAGATATGGCAGACATGCAGCTAAAAGAGCAGTCCTTCCATCATTGCCAAGGAAACAGCTTCAAGGTTATGTGTGATGAAGTGGAAACCATTGGTTATTTTCCTTATTACTTACACGTATCTGTCAAATGTCCTGATTATTCACTTTTAACGTGCTATTAAGAATCGCGGTCGCCATTGTTGGATTGGATTATAGGGATCTGGCAATAATGGTTTACTTTTCATGGTGACATCTCCCATAAGTCACATTAGGGATCCTTACTGTCAGGTTGCTGTGGATACTGATCATTCATACAATGCAACAGGAATAATTCAGCAACAAGCAGTGCCTGAAATATTATTTCATTGCGAGACACTACACGGACAGGTTCTGAAAATGATACCATCTGAATTGTTCATCTTGGGCTTGCTAAGTCTCCATCTACTGACTGGATGCACTGGTGGTAATGAGATATGTAAGGCCTACACTGGTCGTAGATGGGTGTGTCCTCCTCCTTGGTTCCTGTGGGAGGGAAAATGCTACAAAGCTATCATGAAGCCTGTAACGTGGTTTCAAGCCAAAGAAGGGTGTATCAAGATGGGAAGTGTCTTGGTTACACCACAGTCTGATGAGGAAACAAATTTCTTAGTGCAACTACTTCCATCTAACTTCTGGATCAATTGCAATGATATCAGAAAAGAAGGTGGGTTGAAGTATGAAGTTTAGATTCTGACTGGAAAGGTTGACATTTGTTTGACAACAGTGATTCAAATTTGAAACACGTTTCTTTTAGGTAACTATTGAATTAATTGATTTCATTTAATTTAACAGGTACTTGGGAGTGTCACGATGGTCTTGATGAAGTGCAGTACAGGAAATGGTCGACTAATAGACAATGGCCCCAACCTGATAACTCGGGAGGTAACGAGAACTGTGTTGAGGTGTTTGGTGCTGGGGAATGGAATGATCTGCAGTGTGATTGGCAACGTCGTTCAATATGCAAAGTTGCCACCAGCCTACACAACAACTGCACTATGTAAGCTTGACAGACAACGGGGACGAGATACAGCATATAAACAACTTTGGATCACATGACAGGATTCGAACCCACAACTGCAAAAAAAGAGACTCGCTCAGACAGCTCTATCTTGCCTTGCTTGAAGACATAAGTAAAGGTATTGAAGAAAATTTAATCCTAGAATTTCCATGGAGAGGTGGATATAGCTTAACAACAAAATTTTTTGTCAATCTTTAGAACTACAGGCCTCCACCCCCCCCAAAAAAAACAGCAAATGTGGTATGAAATCAAAGGGGTCCTACCAGGTAAGTGTTCTGGTCAAAAACCTCTTAAAATGATAAAATGTGGATTTGGGGTCAGTTTGATAACAATTTGTGCAACCCATCACTTGTTTCTATACATGTAGGTCTCCCTTATGTGAAATGTTTTGCTTCTCGCGTCAGTGGCCAGAGATCAATGAAATACATTTTATTTTCCTGTTCTACGATCCTACTGTCCATAATTTTCCTTGCCGGGCATTTTACTGCAATCATGGGATGGGCTGCTGGTTGCTAAGGCGATTATGTCACTCCACGGTCATGGTTATTGTTCGACATGTTTCTATCATTGTTTGTTATGTTCAGCACATAGTCTGTCTGTGTTGATCTGTTAATTAATTGGTAGATACCGTGGGTTGAGAGTGTGTGAGTTTAAGTGTTAGAACGACAATGAACGTCACTGGAGTAACATCCAAATTCCAAAGAGTGTCTGTTGTGCCGAGTGTTGAATTTACCAGTACCAACTTTGCCTGAGATGAAAAGAAAGCAAATGAAAATTGAGAAAGCTTATCTTTTGCTAAAAAAGGAGAATGTTCAATATGTCGTTTGTAGGGCCTGAAAATTGCCAGAATTTTTGGTTAATTTATTTCATTTTAGATGGCCATTCTCATACCTCAGGTTACACTGAAGTTTTGAAAAGTTATTTGAGGTAAACTTAACTGAGCAAGGTCCGGTACCCGCTGCCCACTGGCGGGAAGACTACCCATGGCCAACCTTACGTGCTTAATACTGTTGGGAACCTGAGGTATCACCTATTTGTGAATACTGGCATCAACAAGGACTTACTTTTATTTCCGTCGGTGTTTGTTTAGAGATGAAGAAATTTGAGAAAGAAGAAGTTTGGAAGATTTCTTTTGCAAAAGAAGTAACAGAAAGAACGGTTGATTGCAGTGATACTCACTTTTCCTTTATAATAAATATTGTAAATATTAAATATGGAGTAATATAAAAAGCTATAAATAGTTTAAATATAAAAAAAAATCCAAAAGAAATTCAACACTCTCGATTCAACTGTTTCGTTGCTCGTCATTTGTGATTTTAAAGAGCCAGGGGTCACCATCTTTACAGCATACATTGTATGTATAGCTCCTTATGGTGACAATGATGAAAAAGTGATATAGTAACTGGTTTGTACATGTACTGGGTACACTCCATAATTCATAATATGCTGAATGTGTTCAAGAACGAAGTGGATTAGAGAAATTGCTCAACTGATGTACAGTGGCCCCAATCTGATACCTCTGGAGGTAATGAGAATTGTAGTGAAGTATATGTAAATGTTGCTGGGCAATGGAATGATCAACAGTGTGATAAGCAACGTCTTTCAATATGCAAAGCTGCAATCACCCAACAGATCAAAGCACAACCTAAACTATCCACGTAAAATGACATCAGATCACCTGTGACGGGATTTGAACCCTACAACTGTAAAAACAACTCATTTGGACTGCTGACGATTTCAGAGAAAGGTGGAGATAACTTTATAAGAGACATAAAGTGGAAATTCAGAACTACAGGCCAAAAAAAAAAAATTTGGTATGGAGATTAGAGGTTTTTGGTAAAAATATTGTTTAATGTCAATGATCATGGATTTTCATGGTAATTTATGGCCTCGTTAGGCACCTCGTTTTGACCATGAGAAATGTAGATGTAACAATGAATGCTCGTTTTTTAATTCATCTTTGTGGCTTTGTTTCGTGTGCAAGGGTACATGAATATAATATGATTGACTTTTGTTGCTTAAGTCATTTTCCCTTTAGAAGGGTCACATGCATGGACATAATGTAAAGTGGGCAACAGAAAATGCAAGTTACCAGAATTCACGTCTAGAAATTTTATCAGTGTTTTTAAATAAAGATCATGATAGCTTGGAACTTTCATGTCATAAGAGCAAAACAACGGTTCTGACTATAATGAACGGTATGAAGACACTTTCAAATCAAAGAATTTTACGTTTTTGTCATGATCTTTTTGTCACGTGAATTACCAATATTAAACTGATCACAATATGCCACAGAGTTAATGCTGATTTCTTTTTTCATAGGTTTCTCACTGTGTTTAAAAAGATTCTCTTGGAAAAAATCTCCTCTTGATTCCATACACAGATAAAAGAAAAGCACAATGTAGTGTGAGTTACAGTAAAATCACCCTTGTGATGATTAGATACAGTGTGTATGTACCTTGATATGTTCAAAACATGAAAGAGAAAGAAGAAAAAAGGAAAGACACAAGGGGAAAACTGAACTGTTCATCAGAAATCAGAAAGGTAAATAAACATTGTGTGCACTCAGTCCATAATGTACCTGCACATGTACAGGTATGACACTTATGAGATGTTGAATACTAAACAATAATGTATAAGGTTTATGCCTTGGCAACGTGTTATCAACACCTCACTACGCCTTCACTTGGACCTTGCGAAAAGGATCTGTGACATCATTTGGCAATATACATGTAATAGGTTGGAAAAAGCGGTACGTTACTATGGGATTTTTCATGGATATTGCCTCTGAAAGTGGTTTGATGAATTCAATTAATATGGCTGACTTGCAAACAGTATGTTCCTTTCATCGTTGACACGGAAACAGCTTCATCTGTACAGCAGCTTTGGTGGTTTGTAAGGAACTGGTAATCATGGGTTCTTTTTATTATAATTGGCATCCGTCTTATCAGTATTTCATTGTCACTCAAACTGCTTTTAAGAATTCTCAGTGTTGGGTTTGCTGTGGTTATTATCAAACGAAACAAACTGTCCAGGGCATGTTTGTGCAGCACGCTGTGCTTTGAGATCCTTTCACTGAAAGACACTTCTCTCATAGGTTCTGAAAATGATACCATCTCAATTACTCATCTTTGGCTTACTTAGTCTCAATCTACTGACTGGATGCACTGGTGGTAATGAGATATGTAAGGACTACACTACCGGTAGTCGTAGATGGGTGTGTCCTCCTCCTTGGTTTCTGTGGGAGGGAAAGTGCTCCAAAGCCATCATGAAGCCTCTAACATGGTTTCAAGCCAAAGAGGGGTGTATCAAGATGGGAAGTGTCTTGGTTACACCACAGTCTGATGAGGAAACGTGTTTCCTTTTGCAACTACTACCATCCAGGTTTTGGATCAATTGCAACGATATCGAGAAGGAAGGCGGGTTAGAATATGAAGTTTAGAGTCTGATTAGAAAGGGTGACATGTGTCTGCCAATTTTATCCCAATCCATAAAAAAGTTGAAAGCTTGTACAAATTTCCACTCTAGTTTTCAAACTTTTTCATAGGTACATGGAGATGTTACGATGGTTCCATGGAGGTCCAGTACAGAAACTGGGTTTATCCTCAACCTGATGACAGAGGAAGTTATGAAAACTGCTGTGACATCTTCCCCACCGGGGATTGGAACGATCTAAGTTGTAATCTACAACGTCCTGCAATATGCAAAGCAACAACTAACCAGCTACACAAATGCACAATTGAAAACCAACACTAAACTTGGACATGCAATGAGAAAATAAATACCTGAAGACTATCTCTAGCTGTGTAGAATGATTTTAACCCTGAAAGAGCCTCAACGTTTTTACTGATATTGCTGCAGTACATTTTTCTCAGGAGTTGAGCCTTTAGGAGCTTTTAGAGTAACTCTTTGCGGTCATTTTGACACCATTTTTGCAAAGATCAAACATGCTGTTCCTGCGCAGCGCATGTTTTTCCGAGACAGGTCTGCCAATAATGGATACTTTTCCCACGGCAGTACTGGCATGTACGTAGCTATGAACTTCAAAGGACCGTAACAACAAACGATACCGTACGTCTGATTGATTTCAAACTTCACATTTGAAATGATAAGGAGTTTCTGTACAGTATGCATGTCAGGTTTTAAGAAAATTGGGCGTAGCACAGTTGAGTTCTTAGGGGAGCAGGATTCCTAAATCTCCCCCTCCCTCCCCTAAGCTGTAAAATGGACCAAAATAACCCAGCTCTTTTAGGGTTAAGCTATCTAAACCAATGTCATTCATGTTGAGCATTTTATCTTGCCCTGCTTAAGATATAAGTAGCTGCATAATTGAGTAAATAAACTCAAACTGCCGAGAACTGAAAAAATTCCATCTGGTAATTCTACCTAGACTGGTATAAGACAATTGCACAAAGAGCCTATTCATCTCAATTTAAACGATTGCCTTTTAAGAAACGGAGTTGAGAAGGCATTCTTGTAACTGTGATTAATGCATTTTGAAATTATGTAGATCGTTAAGTTCATATTATCTTTATAAGTAAAAATTAAAGAGAAATCTGAGTGTTGATAGAATTAGATTTATCTTTGATAAACCTGACTTTTACCAGCTTAGGAATAACCTGAAATTCAATGTTAAAAAAAGCACAGCATTCTACTATACTTTGATTCAGGCAAAATCTTTTTCAAAAGCTACATGTCATCCTGCCATGCAGTTCAATCTTGGGAAAAACTATACAATTTCGGAATGAATCATTTCTCAGGATTAAAATCTAGAAGTGATGCAACTACATTTATATACATGGAATTTCCAGAAGACTTACCAATTTTGAGGGCAGATTCTAAGACGACCAATGAGGAAGCATGATAGCCAGCAGCCAGCAGCTCTTGACCAATTACAGAGATGATTACAAAAGGACTCTTGTCTAGTTTCATAGATTGCAGCTGCCGATAGGTGGGTTCAAATGTATCTATATGACAAGAAACAGGTAGAATACAGGTAGATCATTACTTACAAACTTCTACCTTATGGGCACAAAAATGTGTTTCCGAAATTGTCCACACTGATTTATACATGTAATTCCATTAAGTCACTTACATCACTAAAGATTACACATGGAGATAAAAACGAGCATAAACAGCTTGATATTAAAATTGTTAGAATAACATGTACTGTACGTAAAATTTGTCTTTTTATGCGGAATTTTTTTGAAAGTTTTCTGCCCACTAAAATGAAGTTGAGGCCAGTCACCTCTGTATGACATAGACACAGCGTGCATTCCATCAAATGTTGCATCCAAGGCTTGAGTGCAGTGTACTCTGTGATCATTCATTACAAGGCAATACAGAGATACTGTACATGTATATGCGCTAAAACGGTTCCGTCTGGGTGTAAACCTGAGCTATAAGCGGGTCACTTGACAGTGTACACAGTAATCAATGTTCAGATACATAATGATAACATCAGGTTTGAGGTCTGTGATTTAAACAAAACAGACTTTGTGAACATTTCGGAATAAATAATCTTAAGGTACTACCTTTGAGCGGTGATTTGAGGGCAGCCTCTGCTAATCCAGCAAGGAGCTGAAGACTCTTAGGGTCTTGAGCCAAGCCAGATGAGAAGGCAGCTAAGGCATCAGCATGGCGACCAAGACATTGTAAAGCAGTACCTTGCCGGTAGTAGGCCTGCAGGAGGATAGCAAACAGAATGACAGCCAAAAAACAAAGGTGTCAATAAATTATCTCAGCCACTGGTTTATGGTGACAGAATCAATTATATTCAGATTAGTAACCTGTTTGTTAGCATTTTTGCAGACTGCTAGACTTCAACCTGTACATGATTGTGAGCAATATCACATGTATTAGGATACATGCTTTGTAAAAATTTGCCATTGTCATTGGCATCAATGAAAGTGTGCGTACTTTATGCAGTCAAAATGACAGACTACTATGGGCTGGATGTGGCACAGTTTGTGGTGAATTCTCCACATGTGAAGATGCTTTAAATTTATGGATACTAAGTGGTATGTTCCACACCATTTACTGACAAAAGAACGGTATGTTTTCCTTTGGCTCAACTGAGCAGGATGATGAGTGCCCTCAACTGGTTGTCATCTGCGCCAAAAATAAAGTTTGAACAAGATAATCCGCAAACTAAAGGGCAAACCTTCCAAAACACATCACACAGGTAGACATGGAAATCTACATGCATCTCCATCACATACCATTTGGGAATTCTTCTGAATGACAGGCATAAAGAAATTTCTGGAATCAAAGCTGTCTCTTTGCCCACAGCATTTTGCCATTTTCTGAATGAAAGGTCGAGATTTTTGTAGAGTGCAATGACAGGGAACACTATCTGGCTGGACGGTCTATACTTCTCACTGCACACACAAAAACCGTTATTTCATCCACAGGCAAAATGGACAAAATGTCGCAAAACACATGTTTGGTGTAACAGTCTAAAGTCCTGACATATGATGCCTCAAACCATTTGCTGCATGAATTTCAGTGTCTTAACATTTGGGGGAAAAAACCTTTTCACTCTTATAATAAAATGCCACTCAGGTTTTGGGTTTCTTTTTTTGCTAGTCCTACTAGTATTGACAGTCAAAGCAAGGAAAGCAAAAAATAAGGAATGTACATGTAGGCTGTAAGACAATTCTACAGTTTGTTTGGATGCCAAAGAGGCTCTTATGAACTCAGCGTGAAATCAAAACCTGATGTTTCACAGCAGGTTGTAATACAAAACTGTCCTGACTGGCTGGCTGAAGTAGTTTCTCTCAGAGAGTGGCCTGTGTATAATGCAGGCACTGTTGGGTGTTAGTCCAAGCACGGTCCAAGCAAGTTCACTCCAAAACCAGTTTTAGCAAGCAAATCAATATACAGAGTAGTTAGCATTCCTCTGGGGCTTTTAGTATGCTCTTCAGTCATACTATAAAAACACAAGTTATACATGTACATTTATAAAGTTGGCTTGGATGTGACCTCTTATAACCTTTGAACTACTGTGTACCAAATGCAGGTTGTGCCACCTTGGATGACCAAAGCAAGGTCACACAAGGTTACCCCTTTTTTCTGGAAAACCATTTTCTAGAGGCATTTTTGAGTTAGCATTTTCTGTAGCAAAAGAAAGGTGAATATTTGAGGAAACCATCGACTTTTTAAGTACATTGTACACACAAAGGACGGAATGGGAGTGAATGTGCTACCATACAAGTGTATGGGTAATTTTAAAAATTAGGAGACCACAGTGTGACATTTTGGTGTCCCTGTTACATCTGACCTTTGTTTTTTGACATGGAAATATTACCGGAATTGATTTCAAACTCTATTTGGTTGGCAGGTAATTTGCATTAATTAATCACACTTGGAAATTAGAAAATGTGTTCTGAACTTACAAAATCATATGTCAGATGTGACAGGGACAAACACACAAAAATGGACCCTTAATTTCTGGAATTAACCACATGTTGATGAGGTAAACATGGGTGGGAGTGTGGGCGGGGTATTCTGCCAATTACAGCATGTTTGGAAGACATGTTTAGAACATTTACATGTATCACAAGAGGATCCATATTCTTCTGCAAGAAAAAAAAAAAAAGGAATACAAGATGAAAAATGCAGTCCAATAGCCTGGTTGTCCTCATCAGTTCAATGGCTTCACAGCAGGTGATTACAAGGAGAGGAGACCTTCGGCTATGTGAAGGGGCTTAACCTCAAGGTATGAGGTCCATCTTCAATGCAGCCAGTAATTCAGAGGGACAGACAACACTCATTGATTTGAAACGGTGGGATATCACATTCTGTGGAAAACAGATCAATGACCGCGATCACCAGAATTCTAAAGAACCTCTCAGTTAAAAATGTCGTTTCCTTAGCAGAAGCAACACGAAAAGTTAGCTCAAAGAAAAATTTGTCAAGCAACTAGGCTTTGTGGATTGGTAATAATTGTTCAGGCATGAGTTTCCTCGATCTTTTAACCACAGAATGCAGAAAAGAAGCGTTTGCTCTTCACAAACTTCTTTCCTGTTAAGAAAACTGCTGAAATAGCATGTTCATGAAAGTACACAAATTTACGTTGTGAATTTGTTAGTACAAAGTAATACTTTCTCCTCAGCAGCGCAATGAAATTGGATTCTGAATAAAAGAAAAAATCACTAAGTAAACAGAATTTAAATGTAGCAAAAAGGAATGCTAATAGAAAAAATGCCCTTTCTTGTCTTGGCGATAGTTTTCATCTTCTGCATTTCAGAGCCACATCATATCATGATCAACCACAAACATACATTATACATGTACACACTTGAAGGAAATGACAATGTCAATGATTTATCAATCTGTTATCAATCTGTTATCAATCTGTTATCAATCTGTTCATTTACTCACCTTTTTTTTAGGCTGCCATTTCATCATTCTCGGCCACCAATCACAGATAACAAGTCCTTATCCTGGAGCCTGTCACCTTGCACTGTATTTCCAATTTATTATCATTACTTCTTCATGATTTCCACATCAGTGCAGTTCTACTTTCCTTTTTTGCAAAGTGACGGCAAACAACACATCTTGGAAAATTATCACTGTAGAGAATCATCACAAGAATTGGGCTGCAAAGTGAGTTTTTGTCAGCCTGATGATGCATGAAGCCGAGTCAAAAGCTAAGACAAATTTCGGTAGAAATCTCTTGCGACCAAAATGAAAGAAGTTACCACTGCAGCATCTGAAACCAAGAGCCTTATGCCTACATCCCAGGTAAGAAAAGTCACTGTATTGAAATGAATGATTTATGCACCGTCAACACTCTGCTAGACACCCAAAAGGTTTCATATCTTTTGGATGAGATAGTACCCTGAAATAACTTGAAATCCACACAAGTTGGTGTCTCAAGACGCCAGCAAACGGCTCCTTCCCGATGCAGCTGCCACAGGTCATTTTGTCATCCACAATAAACCAAGGAATCACGAAAGCACCCTCACAAACAGCAAGCTGGGACACCGGTCATAAATTCTCCATCGATATTGATGACATGCCTTGCACGTGTGCCTCAGTAATGGCAGTGACTTCACGCATCCATTACAAGGTGACTAGGAGGACCAATCCCACTGGCTGACAGACTCGGCATTGCTGTTGAAAAATTCCTATGCTTGTCTTAGAGTTAGAGAAAATAGCTCTGGTCTTGTCTGATGTCCTCAAGTAGTCCTGAATCCCCGATCAAGAATGACGTCAGTAAGTACAAATGAGAAAAGTACAATAACTCGTGAACTGGGCCATGAACATGAGGGTGAACAACCAGCAATTTTTCAGGAAGTACCACAGAACTGAATTTCTTCCACAGTTGTCAAGAAAATCATTTTCCATGATGAAGCATCACCATAAATTTCTTTCTTTTTCTCTAGTGAATTCAGTCACAGCCACAAACTTTCCCCATCAATGACAATTCACTTTTTCAAGAAAAAAAATGACCTGCTGAGCCCTTGCAACATTGATGTCATGTCATACAGGCACCATTCCAGGTGTACTCTGTTTCTGTACACACAGAAGAGAAATAGTGAACTTCGTTCAACACAGAAGATCAACACATTTCTGACACACGGAGTTTTCTTAAACTGCAACAACATTCTCGGCAATCATGTGGCAAAGAACGCTGAGGAAAAAAAATAAAAGCAGTGGTAGAACAAATAAAAGTAGTGCCTCAACCACCACAGTGAAGTGGACTTTGTGTATGTGCAGCTTGTAGCCAGGGGTTTACACCCACAAATCCAATGTCCATCGACAGCAGTCAAGTGCATGCCCAGAACCTGCAAGGCATACATGTACTGTAGGATTGTCAGCAAACATGTACACGTTCATGTACACACCGCTGCTTCAAGTATGCACTCCACAAGCAGAAACAGGCCGGGACTGAAGAGGGATGACTGGCTTGTTGTGAGATCCAACATGCTGCTTTATCAGTCAGCAAGTCGCGAGTCCTGCAGTCGGCACAATCAATCCTACGCTACAGGGCACTCAATGAAAATCATTGTCAGTGAGGTGACACAGAATGACAATAGGACGGGTTGGAGGACCGTCTCCCATCACTGTCTGGTAGCCTTGAATAAACTGACAAACAGCTAGCATTATTACCATCCTGACCTACGTGTACTTGGCTGACCCAGAAATATTGAATTCCTGCAAGATAGTTTATCAGACCAACCCTGAGCTCATTACCATAGAGATCCATCCACACGAAGTGGCTAAGTAATCACAGCAGGTGTAAAACGGAGATGTAATAATTACACATCCAGCCTGTTAGGATTGGTTGAACTAGTCAGTACAGGCGCTCCTCAATACACTGAGCGCTTCATTTGACAGACACAATACAGTCACATGTATGGCAAACCACTACATGCCGGCAGGCCCAATATCTCATCATTATTCACCGACCACTGACAGGTGTGGAGTGTGCAATGAGTAAAAAAAATCCGCACATAGTGGAATGAATCTCTGTCACTGCATGGAAGAACAGTACACTGTCTTGGGATATTAATATTACATTATTTATGAAATCTTGTACAAGGGTGGTTTGGCTTCAATGGCTGTATGATCAGATGACCATTTATTTGAACAAGTGGCAAAGTATTGATCAGATGTGGAAGGTATAATCAGGTCAGGAAAAAAATAACAAGCTGACAAAAAATCTGGTGATGGTAACATCAGGGAAACTCTATTGGTAACCAAAAATAACATTAGATGACGGAACAGTTGGCAACCCACATTCAGATGGGATGCAGCGATGACTTTAATTGAATAAAGTTCTTATTGGATTCTTGCTGTTGTGTCTTCATGGTGAAGGGTGATTAATCTACAGAAATTATGCAGATGAATTCCATCACCAACCAATCTAACTGTACCAGTGACTTTGCAGATGGCAAAGACATTTATACAACACAGCTTAAAGATTGACAAAACTGATCAGTATGTCTCCATGTAGCGTTGATAGGCAGGTGCTACACGTATACATGCACAGAGAGATGCTTTCAATAAAATTGATGCGACATGTTGAACTTTGCTGGTACACTCTTATCCACCATGAGATACAGTGCTTGGTACGTGACAATGAGGACCACAGGAGGAAGACATCAACTGCATGGTGAAAAAGAGCACAGTTCAATCATGTGCTGAACGACTTGCAACTGAGGACATTTATCACTGGAAATCATGGCTCAGACCATTATAACAAGAACATATGGTTGACAGTCTATGGTTGTTCGTCTTTTAACTCTACATTCCTTCTCTACTTGGATGAGAGGCAAGTTATTTTCGTGAGTGCGGCATGACTTCAACTTTGACACCTGTCAAATGACCCTTAAACTTTTGTCTTGCTTTGGGTTGGGCATCAAACTTGATGCCAACATTAAAACTTCACCTGTTGATAATGGGGTGAACTAGTGAACTTCTAAACTTGAGGTTTTTTGGTACAGGTTAATAGCACCCTAAGCACTTCACCCCAAGACAAGTTGCTTTAGAAGTAAAACTTGAGAAAAGTAAGACTTCTAACTTTTGGGGCAATTTTAGCAATCTTCCCTATAACATGCTAAACTAACTGAGGCATGTAATGTAGTTACTATCATTACCAACCTCTTGCCTGAAACATAAAACAAGAAGGACTTTTTTGGCATTCACCTGTTAGGTACCACTTTGAGATCAATTGCCCATTCATTCCAAGTTACGGACAACAAGAGCAGACTGCTTTGACTGTTTATGACAAGTATCTCACGGAAAAACAAGACCCATACTTCAAATTAAAAGTCAAAATCTATTATGAACAGGTCAGATTAAGTATTTCTTTCCCTTGGTAAAGAAAATAAAGAGGAGAATAAGAGATTAAAGAAAGTGCCTGGTAAAGACACTGTCATAGTGAAAAAAAATCCAATTAAAATTGTGCACAAGATGGAGAAAGTCGGAACTCAAAGGTACTGTACATGAAAAAAATGGAATAATACAGGCTGTCCTTACTCCTCATAGCACATTCTGGAAGCCATTCCAGTTTCTTGTGAGTCACCTCCTAGAGGGTATGATTTTAATGACAAAGTCCCGCTGATGAAAATTTAAGGGACAGCATGTTGTACACGTGATACCCTTTAGCAAAGCGTAAACTTCCATTACAGACAGATTTGTCTGGATCTGTGATCTTAAATATAAGTGACTTGCAGATCACTGCCAACCTGGCTACAAGATCTAGCCAGATTACTTTGAAAATCTCCAATTATTCATGTCCTGTCTGAGATGGAACAAGCAAAATGTAAGAAGTTCACTGACATTGATGGTGTTTTGTGAGAGGAATTTTTTAGACTGATGGTTGCAGGGAGGATGCCGGATATTGTGATTCAATGCCTCAGGATATCCTCTTCGATGTCTTGACACCGATAGTGATTGCTTGGGGATGTTGTCTGGGGTTGAAGGATGTCTTAAGAGAAAGGGAACAGCTGAAGGGGCTGTAAGGTGATGAGGTGGGGAGCGGGGTGGGGGAATAGGAAGTTGAGGGTAAAGTCACATGCAGGCATCAACATAATTTGGTTTCCTAAAGTACGGTAGATCCCAAAACAAGGCATTCAAACTTGTATTACCTGGCAGATGGGAATAATTAGATCATTTGAGTTGCTAAAAACAAAACTGACCGAATGCCCTTCTGCCAATGCTGTAAAAATAATTCTGTTATATCAATAATAGCCATACTATATCTAACACTAAAAAACAGCCACAATTGAGTTAGGCATTACATGTAAGTACAAGTACATGTATATGCATACACACATAGGGTATATTTACATAAAGGAAGAAAAATACAAATTCTAGTGAAGGCAAACTTGGTCTAAAAGTGAGAGTCTACAGTAGTACAAATATTGCAATAATTAACTCATCCATTTGAGGAAAAATTCATCAGCAAATGAAACAAGAATGAAAAAGATAGAGTGCATGTCCATACTGCCACAAGGAAAGCAAGTAGAGTGGTTCAATCCCCAAGCTGAAGAAAACTCAAGCTGTTTGTCAGTTTGACATGTTGTGGCACAAGTGGCTATTTCCATTACTGTCGGAGATCTCTGGAGATGAGCTGCACAATCTCCTGAATGATGATGCCCCTAGGAGTATCATGCATCCTGATTCCAAGTTCCAGTAATGCTATCTTGCCTTCAAGCAACAAGAATGCCGATGTACATGTACCAAAAAATAGAACACAGGCCCCTTGACGCTTAGTAACCAGTCTTTATTACAGTTTGTATCATGCACAACAAAAAAGGATGTGAGGTAAAAAGGAGAGAAAATAAAAGGAATACTTTCTTGTCTAACAAAGCAAAATGTATTTAAATGGTACACACACAGAAAGGTTTAACAGCTCATACCATTTTGGCCTTCTGATAATATGCAGATAAAATGTACATGTACATTAACCATAGGCATGTACATGTACCAGTATGGGCAATACTTTTGGCAGATCAGGCCACTGTGCTCAAAGGTGAATTCAATTTTAATGGAGTTCACGAATATCCAATTGACAGGCTAACTGGTGAATGGAATTGTTAACATTTTATAAAACTGCTTTAAACTGAACGAATGCATACAGCTGCAAAGCTCACAAATTTAAGAAAAAAATGGGGGGCACTTGACAAAAACAGCTTATAAGCTACATGTGTTGCATGAAGTGCATCTCTCAAGATGACGAGCGATGCATGGAATTGTGAGTTGGTGGTTCCTGGTTATTTGGGATTGCCAGTGATGAAGTACCCTTTAGTTGTGGTGATGTCTTCTTGACATCTTGTTCATCTTGACTAGTCAGTCAGAGGATCTATCAGAGGAGTGGCAGAAGGAAAGAGAGGAGGGCCGTCAGCACTTGACGGCTTGAGTATGAGGAGTGGATGGATTGAATACAGAGATGACCACTGGCTTATGGAGGCTTAGATAAATGGCTGATGCTGCAACTCCTTGTGCTGTGGTTGAAGGTACAGTGGTTCCAAAAAAACTGTCAAATTTCCAGAGGTTGGCCTGTTTTTAGAACTATAAAAAGTGTAGTATAATTCTCATATTGTTGTAAGGAAAATAATACAAGTTGAAAGATAAGAGGTACAGTTTTTAATATTTTTCAGACAACTCAATGCTTTATATAAAGATCTTACAACCAAGCTGTGACTGTACTTCAAAAATGTTACTTGAAATTACTGACAAATTTATTGGTGATTTTAAAGACTACTGATTCTGAGGCTGAAGTACTGTATACAGTCAACTTTCAGTAACATGAGCTCGGATAAGACGAGATTCCGTTTAAGATGAACATATTTCGTACATTCCTATGAGGAAAGAAATCTTTAATACGAGCTTGGGTAATACAAGATTTTGGTTAAGGTGAGTGCTTTTTCCAGCCCGGTTGAGTGCAGATTTTGTTATCTCTCTATTTAGCACAAGCATTTTGAAAACAAATCGTCAATCAACGATCCCATTCAATAGAGGTGCTGTTACTCAGCGCAGTGATAATGCTCGCTAATCCATGACAGTGGTTTTGGGGCATTTTTGATTCCCAAGTAATCAGAAGTTTTTTGGTGGGCATTTTCATGCCGTTCAGTCGGAACGAACATTACCAACATGGGCATTTTTTATTTCCAGGCCACTAGATGGCCCGATGAGAATAAACTCATTACAAACTCCCCAACCGATGCCCAACCCAACTTATAAACTAACGTAAAATTCATTTGTCATTAAAATCTGTTCTTCTCCTACCCATAAATGGGAACATACTTTGTACATACTTTGCGTCTGTTTAGTCAATCACCAACTAAAATGTTAATATACTTCTGTGCGCATTCTCTCATAACAGTGACCACGCCGTGCAGGATACATTTACTTTGACTTTTACCTCTATGCTTTGACAGTGATTGGTGAAGAGAGTTCGCTTCCCCAGTTGTGTTTTATTCATTTTTTTGCTTCATTCTTCTCAATTACATTATTACAACTCTTCATTCAATCTACATACATGTACATGTACTATGTGCATTACACTTTCATAAAGAACATGTTCAAACTGTTGAAAGCAAATTCATTACCCTTCAAGAGCAGTACCATCGACAAACGACACATACAAGTGGGAAAATACCTTCCAGTTAAGACGACATTCCGGATAACATGAGATACATGTAGTGAAGTAAGTCCCGAGGCCTCTGTATTAACGGCAGTTGACTGTATATGAAGATGCACAGTACCTTGTAAATTCAGTGGAAAATTTCTGTAATCACAGATGCCTGTATTGGTTTTGATATTGTCTTGATTTATTTACCACCAGTAAAATCCAGA